ATCAATACATCATACTGCTTTTTTCAGGAGTTAATAGATTTGTTATTCATCAACATGTATCAAAAGGTATCTACTCACCTTTCAGCATTATTATACCTCAGTTTTCTTTACTGCTTTGAAATGAAAGTATGGAGGAGTGCACTCCTCCAATAACCAATCACTAATTTTCCTATCCCAACAGCAGGAGGGAAAAAGACAAATAAAACATATCTGCACAGGAGTTGGGGTTTTTTGTTTGTTTCTTGCTGTACTTCAATTTGTAATGCACTGTTGGCAGAGAGGTACACCATCCAACTTTTATCTGCAAATCTATGAGGCGTCAGGTGTAGAAACACTCCAATACAGATTCTTACATGCATTATAAAGCTTTCAAGTTTCTTGAAAATTAACACAGCCCTTAAAAAATATATCAAAGCTCTTAAACTAACATGGAGTACTATATCTGCATCTCTACAGTAAAACTGCTAGTTTTAAAGTGCTTTCTTATACTGCCATAGTACATTAAATTAAGTATACATCATGGTGCATCTCTTTTAGATTGTGAGGCATTTAGCCACAGACAAGTTAACAGATCAAATAATAATTAGGTAAAGTAATAATCAGAACTTTCAACTAAGCTTTAATTTGGATGAAAGCTAGATTCAAATGCGTGAATCAGAATTACACTTAAAATATTAGACACAATTTAGATGTTAGTTAAAATTAAATGATACAAAAGAGGAGATCTCAGTAGTATAGGAAACATGGGAAAGACTTGGTTTGTTCTTTTTCCCTTTGGGCATTCATTCTAGCCTCTCTCTAACTGGCAGTGGCAGAGATCAGAAATTCTGAAATCTAGTCAGGAAGAACAATGTTCTTTCAGTTTCACAGCCACAGATTGGTTGGTCTCCTGTCCAACTTCCTGCTCTCAGTAGGGTCAAGGCCATTCAGACCACACTGTTCAGGGCATTGTCCAGTCAGGCCTTGGAAACTTCAAAAAGATAGTGACTGCACAGTCTACTGGACATATCTACCTCAGTATTTGACCGTCCTCAAGAAGAGGACAGGTCCAGGAACAGAAAGAACTGTCTTTGCCACTCAGGCAAACTGCTCTTGCACCAATATAACATCACCAAAAAAAGAAACAAACTGTGGTAGTGATGTGTATTGAGTCCAGTCTAGAAACAGCCCTAGTATTGGCTCTCAAAAGGCAGATGGTATTTGTAGGTACTGTGAACTGAGACACATGCAATATAGAAAAGTGCATCCTGGCTTACAAACTTTTCAAGATCGCACACTTTAAGGTAGATGCAGTCAAAAAGCTCAAACATAATAATCTCTCTGGTCACAGAGATCACTCACTCTGGTGCTGCATTTATTTTGACCTCTTTTGTAATTGCCTTTTAGAAAAGAGAGATTCTTTGTAGCTGAAGGGAACCTCATGAAATTCAACAGAGACAAGTGCAGGGTACTGCACATGGGAAAGAAGCAGTTCTTGAAAAAAACTACAGGATAGGCACTGACTGGCTGAAGGGAAGGCCCTGAGGTGTCCTGCTTAAAACTGAGTTAAATGTGAGCCAGCTACATGCCCTGGCAGCAAAGAAAGCAAACAATATACTGACTGTACTAACAGGACAGCACGGAAGTGATCGTCTCCTTGAGCAGTAGGTTGGAATATGTGACCTCTCTAGGTTCTTTCCAACCAGTATTATTCAATGATTCTATGACTAAGTTGGGTGTGCAAGTAAAAAAAAATCTTATTAGCCTCTTCTAAATAAAACTTTCTTTACAGTCAAAGAGAAATCCAAATTTCCTCTGACTGATTTCAAAAGAAATTGAATGTATGTAGCTAGCATCAAGCTTGGCAGGGGAGGAGAGGATGACAAGGACATTTTTGATCCTTTGTAGTGCATGTTGTCAATTTAAACCATCATCTTTAACACATTCACTCTCAGAGGAAATATGTTGTTTTAAAAAAGGAAACATCCTGATTGGGCGTTTTTACTGTTGCTCCACCAGAAGTCTTGTATTCTTTAGCAGCAATAGGAAGATACAAGCTTTCAAAACTGAATCAAACAGCATAAAGTACATTAGGTTATATATCTTTGTTGAGGAAAGAACTCCCTCCCACCTCATGATGTTCTCCCTTTCAGCATTAGGAAATTAAAGCAGACACATCTCATCCTCATGTCCAAAATAAGCATTCTTGATTTGCACAGTGATTCTTATTGGAAATAACAGCTTTGTGTAGAGTAGTATTTGTGTATCAAGACAGCGTGAGGATCTGCGGTGTCATGGAAGACTAAAAGTAGAAAGCTGTTTAGCTTTGTAATACTTAACACAAAACATGAGTATTGCAAGTACCTGAGGGGTACAAACAAAAGAAGGCAAAATAAGTAATTTATTTATGTGAACTTGGGAAACATGCAAAAAGGAGAGGTAAAAAGTGAATACTTGTAGTAAGCGTGAAAAACCTTTAAGACAGCAATGTGTATCTGCCCATACTTCTGCTTGGTAATTTCCCCATTCCCTGTAACTGAATTGTTCTTTAAAAATATAATCTATTTTTCTTTCTTTTTGAGCTAAGGACTGATCAGAGAGAGACCAACATGTTAGAAGGCGAATGATCCAAGCCATCTTTTTCTAAGTGTAACCTCTTGCTGTATGAGTCACGTCACACCCAAGCCACAGGGTAGCATACATAATGTGAACAGATATACAAATGTGACAATCCCATCTGGTAATAACAGTTAAATCAGTTAGTACTGACAATAAGAAAATACTGCAAAGTAATGAATCTACTTTGAAATCAAGGAGAGTATCTTCTTACATGTTGCTGGCTTCAGTAGGAAAGAAGTGAAATCATCTTTCACTTGCATTCCAGCTTGCATCTCTATAACTCTGCACAGAATAGGAAAGCGATAAAGAATTCTTCATCAACAAGATTTGTACTACAGCCATATGGCCAGATGGGTAACATCTTAATCCCTGATAAATATGAAACTGAAGTATTTAGTAGGAAAACTGAATTTAACTCCATTCTTTTGCAAACGAAAAATCTGTTTCAGAAGTTTTTCTGTATTATGTATCATAAATAGTAACAGTAAAATGTACGTAAATAGAAAACATGCCAAAAGCACTTCATTTGACCCTGTTCAACCGAAAACATCCTTACTTCCTGTGCTCAATTTAATCCATTACAATCTGTGTGATTCTATACACTGAGAAGGTTCGGATGAAAGGATTTAACGTAGCTTCTCAACAGATATTTCCAGGGATTACGGCTCTTCGCTCATTGAGTGCCACTAACTGCATTTTTTCTGATTTCCTCAGTTAAAAATTTGAATTACAAAATTTCTAAAACGCTGCATTTTTTTCAAGTCCCAGAATCTCTTCTTTAAGAGAAGCTATCTAAAATCCACTTGAGTTTCCCCAAAACCAGCATCACTGCTTCCTGATACTTCACCATGATTGAGAAAGCAGCTAAGCATTCTAGAATGACTAAAAGGGCGGCCTGCTAGCTAAATGAAATACGATAAACAAGATTGTAGACCAACTGTGTAGAAAATCATAATTGAAACATACAACAAAGCAGGAGACAAGACATTTGGTACAGTAGCAATCACCAGCACTCAGCATGGAGAATGCACACCTGCAGTTTTGTACATATTTATTTTTTATCTCTAAAAATACAATCAGGGAATTCCACATGGTGGGAGGACAGGAAAGGACTAGCATCTTTAGGACCTGTGGGAAACCAGCCTTTCACTCTGAATTTGTACTTTCTGAAACAACTCTTCTGATATGTATTGAGAAAAAGAACAAAGATCTTGATGCTGACCAGACAGTAGTTTTCCTGACTAAAGAAAACCTACCTCTATCTTGAAATCCAATAAAAATAAGGTAAATCTTCAGTCTGTGAAATAAATTTCCAGATAATAAAATTTGACAGAGCAATCAGCATCAATTTTTACGGTTTTTTTCTTCCTTTCTCCAAAGTTGTGCATCTTGTAGGTTTTTCATCTCATCTCAAGATATATCACTTCTCTTCTGCACTGACAAAACTGATACCAAATCCAGTTATTCTGCTGGACAGAACAACTTTTTTTTCCCTTTTTTAATATGTAGACTACTGTCTTATTTTACATGTATTAGAAAACTAACCAATAAACTCAGAATGTAAGAACAAAGTCTTAAAAAATGTAAATAATTCAAATGATGATGATATGGGCCTTATATCACTTATACCATAGATCATTCTGATGCAGCTTAAGAACTCCACACAATCTCTTATTCGGGTTATGTTTAAAATTACTTGCAATAAGCTCAGAGTGTTTCCAGAGACTTCTGCTAATCACAGAGATCTGTATGAAACATTGGTCAGCCTCAGAGTGCAGTGTGCGACACTGCTGCTTACCTATCACATCAGTCATCTTTTGTTCACTCTGTTTTGTGATATTTTTACCAGATCCAGTTTGTAATTGACTGTTACTCCTTTTGTTGTGGAAATGAAATGCATGGTTCGGCCCTGACCAAAACAAGATATTCAGAACAAGTGACATTTTAGCTAATAGCTCCAGCTAACAATGCCACGTGTAAGTTTCTTAATTTAAATGCCCATAACACCAGCACTGTGTGTCACCTGCAGAAACATTTAGACTCATGACCTTTCCTGCAGTGTGCAACACAACTAGATATTCCACAGTCCCAACAGTTCTTATGCTGCAGCTCGAGCTATAACACGTTCCAGTCCTTTGATGAGTTACCTCTTTGAAAAACCACACCAGGAAAACAGTTTCACAGTCCACTGAGAGACTAATCATTGCCATGCTGAGCCTCTCCCTCAAGTCCCGCTGCAGAAATGAGGTCCACAGCAGCACTACCGCCTATCAGCCTCGTCTGGCAGAGCAGAGACGGGATTTCTGCTTTAGCTGAGATGAAATGGCTCTGTTTTCAAGTTAGAACTAGGATTTCTCTTAAGGAATGCTTATAAAGATTTTTGTGGCATGCTCTAGGCTTACCTCCTGGACAATGCCTCATGGCCATTTTACATCGTCTGGACTCCGCGATGGTTGGGCATGGTATCGTATCTTTCGCTGGCTTCTTCACTATTTGCCTTGTTCTCGTTTCCAGGCCCCACTTAAATCCACATGTTTTATTATTTCTGCTGCAAGTTCCCCATTCACTCCACTGACCAACTTCACAGCCTTCTGATAAAGCAAAAGAAAACCTATTAGATATTCTTCTGGTTCTCTCCTTCTCTTTTTAAGATGTTTTAATTAGCAAGGACCACTTAAATTAGAACGTACTATTTAAAAGATTTACTATTTACTGGCAAAAAATAGAAACAAAATATCTCACAGAATCTGAAAGAATCTTTTCAGTCTACACCCACCCCAAGCATAATAGAGTTACACTATTAATCCGCCTGTATGAACATCATGTCAGTCGCAAAGCCCTCCTAAAATCCTGAAATTGATTTTAATTTTCCTCTCTTTGATAAATCCTACTCATTTGTAACCTGGATGCGTACATCTCAGGAGTTCACATTTATAGGTCCTCTTCATCATGAAACAAAAGGACTTTTCCTGAAATGAGGAGTCTGTTCTGATAGCTCCCACATCTCAAGTAAAACACCAAGCTATGAGGCTAACAAAGTTGCCAGAAACAGCTCAGAGTTGCAAAGTAAATCTATACTAAAAAAACACATTTTCAGTTTTACATTCGAAAAAACTAAAGTCTGAACAAAAAAACTCAGTGCTACAGAGTTTATAGAGCCTGCAAAGAATTATCTACCCTGTTCTGAATCAAGAGAGTCAAAATATAGAAGACCAACTTGAGTTTCTACTGCTCACTCTCCTCTTTCTCATCTTTCTCATTTGTCCTGCATGTGGATGTGACCACCTATACACATTGCTTAAAGGACTTGAACATTTTTGTTGTTGTTGTTGTTTAATTTCCCCCTCCACCAGCAGAAAAGTGTTGGTTATAGAATGAATACCCAGTACAATACGTGTTATACAATCAGCAATCCATATGGGCTGCTATATCCAACTCCTTTGCTTCCCTGTTACTTGCAAAATAGAATAGGGGAGAGCTGTAGAGAAACTAAAAGTGACTCTGATGCCTGTCATGGTTTTATGGCTACTGCTGAGCTTCATGAACAGGGCATATGATCCAACTTGGCCTGTCCCTGGGTTCTGGACTCTGTGAAACAAAAAAGGAGCAGGTAGCTTATGGAGGTGAAAACTCAAGGGGCACTCAAGTTCTCATCAAAAAGAGGCCTTCCTGAAATCTTACAAATTCTGAGTTACAGATGTACATACGTGATGATGTACAGGACAGACCTTTCAGATGCTCAACAGCATTCCCAACAGTGTATTCTTTCAAAGTTTGGAAGAAATATATATATATAAAATAATGTAATATAATATAATATAATATAATATAATATAATATAATATAATATAATATAATATATATATATAATATATAATATAATATATAATAATAATATATTACTGTGGAGAGAGATATCCAGACACAATCTTTTAGTGAATATTTCTTGATAGGAATCATAGCATCATTAAGGTTGGAAAGCCCACTAAGATCATTTAGTCCAACCACTGACCCATCACCACCATACCACTAGACCACGTCACTCTGTGCCACATCTACCCTTTTCTTAAGCATCTCCAGGGTCAGTGACTCCCCCACCTCCCTGGGCAGCCTTCCCCAATACTTCACCACTCCTTCCGAGAATAAATTTTTCCTAAACCCAACCCAAACCTGCCATGGTGCTACTGAAAGCCATTACCTCTTGTCCTTTCACTGCTACCTGGGAGGAGAGGCCAACTCCCACTCCACTACAACCTCCTTTCAGGCACTCACTGTAGAGGAATTACTAAGTATTAGCTTAAAAGCAGTGTCATCAGCAATCAAACCTGGCCACCTGGCAAAAAAAAAAAAAAAAAAGTGGCTTCAGCAGCACTACTGGGCTGGAAGACTCACCCACACATTCCATGAGTTCTTCCAAGGCAGCAAATCCAGGTGGGCAACCTCTGAAACAGCGGCCTCTGTGGGAGTAGAAGCCAGCTTTGCATTTGGTGCAAAAGTCTCTGCTGAAGCAGGAGTCACAGTTTTCTATTCTGCATCCTGAATTGAAAGGATCATAAGGAACAAAAATGCTGCTAAGTTAGGGGAACCTTCAAATTGAAAGGATTTATAAAGGAATAGAATAGCAAAATCTTAAGAACTGTGTTGAGAAATACTGCCATCCCAAAATCTATCCACTATTTAGGAGAAACCAGTTAACTGTATTGCTTGTTCCATACATCCTTTTAATTCTATTGTATAATAAACAACGTTGATAAAAACTAAATGACTTCTGAGCTGATTAGATCTTTTTGGAGGAAAAATGTACATTATTTTCTGTTTTATTAATATTAAGAAACATAAAGCAAACAGGTTATTTTGCACTACATGTACTGCAATTGATTTATTATTTGTCGTCGCAAGCAGGATACAAATTTTTCCCTATTTCTCCTATAAAAAATACATGAAAACATTTATTTAGCTTTGTTTGATTTCCGTATCTACACATCTGCATTTCCTACCAGGCAAAAACAAATAATTAAATAGAACTGTTCTGGATGTAACTTCTCTATTATCGTTGAAGTCCATGCATAAAAGTTAACCTTTATTAAATGATTGAAAGACAAAGCAATAAAAATAATGAGGGGAAAACAAACAAACAAACAAAAACTATTGACTTTTAAAATATACAATTTCACAATAATTCACAGTAATTTCACAATAATTCTGGACAACTATCCTCCTCAGTAGATTACGGACTCGGAAGCAGACCATTCAGGAATTTGTTATTTCATACTACAAGTGGCAAACTGGTAATGAACTAGATAGCAACAACAATATGCACCCCTGTAAAACAGAAACACTTCCATGGAAGGCTATGGAAGTCCCTCGTACATGCACAGAAAAAATGCCTGGAAAAACTTTCAAAAGTAAAAGTTATTATATTTGAAACAATAATGAACACATTAGAGCTTATCAATTTTTATCCACTCCTTAAGCAAATGTGCTTAATTCATGTAAATTACATTAATTGTATCCTGTCTTCAGCTGAAGTTACAGCAATAAGCATTTGTTACTCGTTTCATGTAATGATGTACTAAATGTTTTGGTCATTCATGTCATTCATTTATTTTTCATTCTTTCTTCTCTAAGGCAATAAATAAATAAATGAATAAATAACCATAGGTACTTCTGAAATAGCCATTGGTATTCCACCCCCTGCACTGCAAATTTAGCCAATCTTTATGAAACGGATTTTAATATTTATTCATAAGCTTCAGGCTGTAATAGGGCATACCACAACACTTAAACTGAGTGGTGAGAATTGCTCTGTATAGAAACTTTCCAGATCAGCTTTCTTGTGACACTGGACAAGAAATCAGGCAGACAGCATAGAGGGGATTAAAAATAATAATAATAATAAGAAAATGTTGGCACATCTTTGGTGTAGAAAGGAGTCAGAAATCAAAATTTGAAGCCCTCCACTGCCAAAGATACACATTTCATTGTGTAGAGACAATCACACAATCCATTTCCTAGCAAATCCAGTATACAGCATTTCTGAAAGGGATTCCTAGAACTCCTGTGCATAACAGCAGCAAAATCTGCCTTCTTACCCGCAGTCTTCCTTTAGGAAATTCCCAAGATTTACCACTTCCTTCTCCCAAAGTTTGCACCAGGCTCCAAAGAACAGAATATCAATTTTCATGCAACAAATACTTCAAAATCACTTCCCTAGGTGAACTGTCTGCAAGGTTGTGTTACAATAGAGCCTTTGCCATGACAATTATATTTTGAAGACATAGTAGGGGCTCTTGGGCTATGGTTAAGGTTTCAAATATGAAACGCCTATTACTTAATCCATATAAGATGCAGTTTGGGGAAAAATACTAAAAAAAAATCTGAACATTTTTGAAATTGAAGCATTAATTCACCAGAGTGATAACCATTCCTGGAATGTGAGATCATTAGGTGCTATTTGTGACGTTTCAAACCATTAAAGATGCTCAAGCAGCTTTAAGCCTTGCAGGACAATTGGAATCAACTAAAGAGGTAAAGAAAGTATTCCGAAAGTTAGAAATGTTAACTTTCTACAAGCCTATTTTCAATCACAAACTATCAGAGAAGTGGTGGTACAGCAGTAGAGGCTGAACCTTACCAACAACATCGCAGTACATGTTGTTGCCATGAGACAGATGGCTGCAGAGGGGAAGTCTGACAGAATGATGTTTGATATGGAAGTGCCTATGAAGCCAAGTTGTGGAACTGAAACTGCACTCACTGACAGGCATCAGTGATTGCTGAAGCAAGTGTATGGAGATCAAACAATGGATGTGAGCACAGTGAGGTGGCAGGTGGTGTGTTTCAGCAGTAACAGTGACATGAAAGAAAAGCCACATTCCAAATGGCCACAGATAGCTGTCACACCACAAAATGAAGAGATTCTTGACCAGCTCGTCCACACAAATCAATGGATAATGACCAGGGAGCTGAATATTGGCTTCAGTGCACTGGAAATGATGGTGGCAGTGTTGGAATGTTGCAAATTTTTTGCCAGGTGTCTGTGCATGTGTGCAAATGCACACAATGTTTGTCAGGATCTACTGAACCAAAACAAAGTTGAAAGTAACCGTTTTCTGGATCCAATCATTACCAGTGGTGAGACATGATGTCACCAGAGTCAAATCAGCAGTCCACAGTGTGACAGCGTACGAGTTAACCATCGAAGAAAAAGCAGATGAAGTGATGTGTGGTGCTTTTTGGGATAGGAAATGGATGATCCTTCTGGATTTCCCTGGAACTTGGACAAACCACCAACTCTGACCACCACATCACGACACTGATTAAGCTAAAGGCTCAAACTTCCAGCATCAGGCCAGAGGAGAACACAACCTTTCTCTTGCAAAGATGATAACACATGGCCTTGTGCCAGCTTGAAGCCCATAGAGCATATTGCAAATCTTGGCTGGATTATCTTATCTCACCCACTGTATAGTCCAGAGTTGGTGCCTTCTTACTCCCATCTGTTCAACTTCCTAGCAATGATGCTGCTGTAGTAGCTGTGAAAAAAAGTGGACCATCTCCACACAGGCAGATTTTTATGAGTGCGGCATGCAGGCTCTTGTTCACTGCTGGCAAAAAAAAACAAAGCTAGTGGTGGTGACTATGTTAAAAATAGTGTTTTGTAGCTGAGAATTTGCTCTATTAAATTGTGCTCTTTGTACCTCTTGTAGCTCTCATGGAAATAAATAGGAGGCACTACTTTCAAAGCAGGCCTTGTAATTAAGAAAAGTAGCATTTAAAAAGTGGTTTTCTCTTTTACACAAAACAACAGAATAAAAATCTGAAAATATTGTTCACAGTTACTGAGCTGAACTGCTTCCTTCTGATTGCCATAGCTTTCAATCATTTGAACTTTTTCATCTTAGCATCTTATTTCTAAGTGTGGTGATGAAAAGTAGAATTCTCCTCAATTTTCTAAAGCCTTTTAAATTTACTAGCTAATTTTAATTGACTGGAACGTGAGACTTTTTTTGTTTTTAAATCATGACAAGACTCTTGACAAAACCAGTTGTGTGGATTCATTTTACCACCTGTAGACCTAATTGCATAATTAAGATTTTACATAGAAGCAATTCTGTAAAGGAAGGAAACAGATATTCACAACCCCCAGTATGCTTCCGAAATGCATTGATTTTTGCTCAAAAAATAAACGGAAAATTACGGTCACTATAGGCTTCCAGATAGACAGGGGTAACTGCTGAGAAATTCTGGAGCAAAAGTAGCAAGAAGGAGCCTAGAAATGGATGCTTTGGAGAAATAGAAGGCAGATGTCAAGGAGAGAATTAACTGATTAATTCAGTAATGCAGAAGAACCCTAAGGAGCAATCACATACCTTTGGCAGGCCAACCACTCTTGCAGGGCAACAAGAATCTAGGACACTTAGTCTTCAGAATCTGAGTGAAGAAAAGTTCTCCATTGCTGCTGTTCCCATCCAGCTAGCAACAAGAAGTCTGCACGTTAGAATCCTTACCTCTTCTTTCCCTTGCACTCAATTCTCAGTGGGTCTGCTTCCTACCAGACCCAAATACCTTCTATTTCTGCTTAACATCACGTCTCCCTATATCCCACTGGAACTAACTACCAGCTACTACATAGCCAGGATCTCCCAGACTCACTGTTGCACTCTCACTGTATCTCATCTAGCATAGTTTTTTCTTTCTAATGTTCCTATCTTGGTACTCAAAGGGAAGTTACATTATTGTTTCTGTCCTACCAATTCAAAAGGTATAAGACACCCATAAAACCACATGAAAACCAGACATCTTCCTCTGCTACAATCTTCATACGTCCATACTTCAAAATGCACTTAGAGGGGCCCAAAGAAATCTATGCTATATCTGATCAGCACACTCCACTTCTAAACAGATGGCACTTTTTAAAGTGTTACACCATATTCCCACAAGAGCTGTATGTAAATGCTACAAGATTCTGACTTCACTGAAATCCATGGTAAAGGTCCTAATTGCTGCAGCAAGAGCAATTTTAAACTAGTAACTTTTTTTTATGCCATCAGATAGACCACAGCCCACTATAATCACCCTAATGGACAAAAACAATATTAAAACCCCCTGAAGAGATACAATCTGTCATGACAAACACGCATTTGCAGAATGACAAGTGAGAAATGAAGCAGTCAGAAAAGCTGACTTTCTACAAGTCTATTTTCGATCACAAAGTGTCACAGGAGAGGTTGTAAATACACAGCTCCATGACTTCACCTCTCAGGGGAAAGGGTGGAAAAGAAGTCACTACTTTGGTGAAGCTGAGATGGGCTGAAATTAAGTTGAAGCGCACTGCTGAAGTGTCTTCAGCGGTTGGATGAAACAACGGTAAACAAAGATGTATCCCATCGATAGAGCTCTGAAAGCTTGATTTGTGATACAAAATATATACTGACTCTAATAGAAAGTCTATTGGTACTGTGCAATCTGTTTATTTAGCCTGAGAGAAGAGTAAGAACTTAAGTGACATTTCAGTGCAGCACAAAGATAGATTA